AAAGGGGTTAATAGGGGTAAAGGATAGGGGTGTTCTGATATTCTACCTCTTGATCTCTGCTTTTCTTTGTCCAAGTAGGTTATTATTCCGGTCCTTGCAATGATGGGTGGGAAGACTATGGTTCCTTGCAAGTACCGTGGTCGCCATGTAAGTAACTCTCAGACTGGACGATGATGCTGATGAAGTCGTTCATTGGTAGGTGAGGCACAATACAAGGTGCACTCAACCAGTAGAGCATATATACGGAGCAAATTTTAGTTATGCACGACATAAAGGAAACATTTCCTCTGAATCTACCCATCGGCGTGGTCTTACAGGAGATCGTATCATGTTTGGAACTAAACTCAGACTTTTCATGGAATTTGAAAGGAATTCGAGGACGTGAATGGTTTTGAGTTTTTATGATATGATTCACTTTAATTTCCCATTGGTTTCGGAGAGTGGTGACGATAAGACAGAAGGACTATTCAAAGGTGGCACGACTTGACTCCGAATGCGCAAGAATTGCAAATTTAGAATCATTCTAATTCGTGTATGGGGGGAGGTTTGAGACACCTACGGTAGGCAGAAGAAAGTGACCGAACTGGGTACTGCTGGTGGTAGGGGAATGGAGCGGCTAACTGAAAGAGAATAATGAGCGTACTTCAACACATAGGACTTGAGCGGGACGTCCCTCATGGCGGACAGGGCACACACGAGTATGTCGATGCATATACGTGTATGTCTGTCTGTTTGTGCGGGTGCGTATGTATGTGTGTCTGTCTTGGTGTGCGTGTGTGTATGGTTGTATGTATGTATGTGTGTTGTGTGTGTGTGGTGTGTGGATCTGAGGAGAATATCTCTCTCAGGAAAACCACTGCTCAATTTTGTGGTTTAGGTGAGCTGATACTCTTCCGATTATGATTTCCAAAGCAGAAACTTCAGAACTTCATGAGGAGATATTAAAGGCACTTGTTGTTCCAGTATATGAATAAACTCGCGGTGAAATAGAGCTGCGAATCATTTTTTCTAAGCAGTGTGTCACTCATAACTTTTTATTCTTATAATACCTTCAGTGACCCAATCATAGTTAAATTCAGCGAATCATTTTCATAAATATGCTTGGCAGTGTTAATTGAGACATGGCTTTATGCTCCCATAGAAAACTGCAGAGGAGAGGACAAATTCAAATCAAAGAGGTAGGATTCTGTCGTGCCAAGAAAATCGTCGTATCGCTACACCGTGGTAAATCGCGGAAAAGCTTCGAAGTCAAAACACTTTCAGAACTAACGGCGGCCAACTGTCTTGTACAGAGGTGTAATCGTCGGCAGATCACCATTCGTGTGGAGTAAATTATTCTGATAGATTGTACTTGGATAGTGAAAGTTGATCAAGAGAACTCATCGAAATGGATATCAGAAGGATGTCTCAGAAGATTTTTTTCAGTAAGCACAACAAAAATCAGACGCTCAGCTTCTCGTTTACCCGAATGAAATAAGTAGTGATAGAGCCGTTGAGACGACACCGAAGAATTGAGATTGCGTTGCAGATGAGGCATCAGTATCCGGCTGGTGAGCTTTCTTCACCCTTGCGGAAATCGCTATTTGCGTACAGCTGGCCGTCGGCAGCTCTTTCAGCAGCTGTGACCACGGTGAGATTTCGAACTTTCTTCAGTATATGACCGCGAGATTCCAATTCCGTCAGATAGGCCTGAAGAACAGATTTCATTTGCTAGAGTTCGGCATGATATTGACAAGAAGTCTACCTGAGGGAAGTTCGGTTCATATGAGGTGGAGTTTGGATACAGCTGATTGTGAAGTCGAGGCGCATCAACTGCCTGTTTCACATTGGCCTTCAGATAGAGATTATGTAGTGCCACACCGGCCACCCCACTGATTATGGTCGATCCGCCTGCTCCTCCTACCACCAAAACGCGCTGAAAAGCAAGCTTCAGTAATAGTAGAATCCTGAAGATATACGAGAAAGAAATAGAAAGAAAGGACAATATAGTGCACAAAGCCAGTCCCGGTCGGGTATATTACCGTTTTTGAGTGGCAATGAATGAATTGTGGGTTAATTTCTCGGGGCAGTCACCATGTGTGGGAACTCAGGGTGACGAAACTTCTCTTCGATTTCCCACGTTCGTTTTACGGCATGCGGCGCATCTTTTTCAGTTGTCCGACGCCTTCAAACTGCAAACACCGCACTCAACCCGCCTCCCCACCAATCGCTAAATCGCAATATAATAAATCATAAATTGCTAAGACGCAATATTTTTCGTTGACTGCCTTTCTTTTATGATTAGTTTTGGTTGGCTTTTCTGTTTGTTTTCCGTTTTTTATTAGACATGATTGTTTAGAATGACTCCTCCTATATCGATTATAAAGCTGGTCTATCAATGAGTTCGTTTGTGATGGCATCCAGTGTGAGTAGGAAGAGGAACGGGCTCAGAGCTGACCCCTGGTGTACCCCAACCGTGACGTCTATTGCTTCAGTCAGGCCGTGTGGTGTGCGTATTGCTGTCGTGGACCCATCGTACATGTTTCTGACCAGGGAAACCAGGTGTTCTGCAACGTTTCGTTTTCGGAGAGCTCTCCAGAGCACTTGTGGCTGGAGAGGAAAGCCTTGTGCAGTTCGGGGAAGGCTAAGCAGCGAGATCTATGTTTTTTTCGATACTTCTTCATCATTTGCGTTGCATATGAACCGTAGTCCCAAAATTGATTCCCTGGAAATTTGGCGCTCAACGGCTCAAGGCGAATAGTTGGAGCTATGTGGTGAGCTCTTGTGAAAGTCGCGTAGCATCAATCAGGTTTACCACCCTTTCTACAAAGAGCCTTTTCAACCTTCTACCCTATTCTCTCTTCCGAGCACAACTCTTCCAAAGCTATATCAATGGACGGGGTGCGAGGTCCCAAGAAGAATGCATGCTGTTATGTACTTTCGATCACCTACCCCCTTTCATCGCAACTATGAATCCTTCGCGTCCATCCGCACGAACCTCCCAGTCTGAATTCCGTGGCACATGGTTGACCTACCTCCTATCAGGTCACCTACAAGGTTTGAACTAAATTTCGTATGCCAGGAATGAATTTCTTCGATAAAAGTTGTAGGGAAAAGTCACCCTGGCACAGATGGCATGATGGGTAGTCACTTCAAGGAAAATATTTACAATTTGTAAACCAAGTATCATGATTTTGCCAAAACCTCTGTGTTAAACCAGTGTATAGCACTATTGCACAATCACCTGACTGAAGCATAAGTGCTCGGTTGTTTCACAAAACACCGCCGCAAACACCATGGTCTTGGGGATTTTATTTGTCAAAGTCTTGGAAGAACTTGCAATTTGGCCCGGAATAAAGCGCATTTTTCTCAGATGTAAGGCTTCGTGGGGCTGCTGGACGGGTTTGAAATACAAAGCTTCCGTTCTAATCAGGAATCTCACCTTCGCACTTTTCCCAGGCGTTTTGTCGAAGATTATCAGAGGACTTTGACTGCTCATTGGTCGCTTCCCGGGTCGAATGAAATTAGCTGGTGACGGTGGAATTCCGAACGTGTTGGGATGATGAGGTGTTGAGAAGTCGTCCATTTCGTCGTTCCAAAGAATTCCTGTCGATGGAGACGTTACCGCTGCTCCAAGGCTGCAATGCTACAAATATGAGTTTTTCACTGAGATTACCCAGGATGGGAAAAGAGGCACACTCTGAGACGACTTCTTAGTCCCATTTGACAGTATTGGATTGGGGGCTTGGTCAAATGCAGGTGGCTAGCCAGGCTATCCCAAAGTGGGCGAAGAGCTTTGGTCTTGTAGGCGGGCCCGAGTTGCTTCTCGGCTACTTTCCCGTCACTCGAGTTCAAGCTTTTGGCTGACTAGATCGGCATGATGGGCACCAAACAGCCTTCCGCGAGGAATACTATTCGGCGAACAAAGTCAAACCAAAACGGTTTGCAGTAATGGACATTTAATGCAAAGCTTGCTTGCCTGAAACTGTGCTAGAAAATCAACAAGCAGCAGGAGTTGAAAGAACAGGGCTTGAATGACTGAGTTTGGATCATAAGGCACTTCTATTGGGAAGCAAACTTCGCTGGAAATACAACTCACTACAAGTTGATAGTGGACGTGACGGAGACGGCGTTTCCGTGAATATCAATCACGGAAATGTGCGTAGTACCATGGTCCGCTGCAGGAGCCTCGAGCGATCCTCCATAGTACTCATCAGGATGGGTCTCTTCAGTGATCTTCGATCTGTAATTTTTCCTCAAATATACCGGTTGCATTTGGAAGGGATAACTTACAGACCTCACCCATTCAGCCCACTTTTTTGAGGTTATGTTGTCAGCGATTTCGGTCGCATTGTCGACAAACGCAGGGTCGCCAAGCCATGTTCGAGCCGCATACCTATTGAACTTCATTCTCGCAATTCTGTCTTATACGTAGGATTTGGGCAGAGCTTGAACTTACGCAAATTTCGAAGATTCAATGAAGCGATGATAGAACTGAGCTATGTCCTCGAATGATTTCATATCGTTTTTATACCTGAACTTGGTCTATTAGCAATAACGTGAGTCCACTACAAAGGAATCCTCGTAAATCATGATCAGGACCCGTCCATGATATTCAAAATGGCTTGCGCCACAGCTGAACCAGATGGTGGGGGTGGGCCACAGATCATTCGGTTGTTGCTAAGCGTTGTATAGATAACTCCTGAGTGTGGGACCACTATCGAACGATATCTAGAGAAGTCGTCTTCAGTAAGCATCCCACCTGAAATTGTTTAATTGTAGAGGGAA